ATCTTCCTTCCACGTGTGTCTCTGCTTGTCCTCTCTTCTTATGAGGACACCGTTCAGATTGGATGTAGGGCACATCCTACTTCAGTATGACTGTACCTTATTAATTACATCTGCAAAGACCCTATTTCCATATATGGTTACATTCTGAAGTTCCAGAAGGACATGAATTTTGGGGGGACACTATTCAACCCAGTATACACATTTTTCAGCGTTTCATATTATTTCACTCTCTGAATACTTCATAATTCAGTGGTTTCTACTTTTTTTGCTATTATAAAAAATGTACCTGGGACATTCATGTACATTTATCTTTATAAACACACACTAATGCTTCTGTAAGATGGACTGACTCTTGGAAGTAGAATAGCTGGATCAAAGGTCATGCACAGTTTAAATTCTAATAAGTACTAACTACCAAATTGTCTTCATAAATTTGCATATGTTGATCATCAGCACTGGGTATTGTCATTGTGTTGCCAATTAGAAAACTGAAGAATGATATCTCATTTTAAGTTGCATTTCTTTGATTATTAGTGGTGTTGGATGTCTTTTTATATATTTATAGGTCATTTATAATTATTTTTCTGTGGATTACATATTCATATTTTTCCCATTTGAATCTTTTTATCAAATAGGAGTCCACTACATATTAGACACATTAATCCTTTGCATCTTATATGCAAATACTGGTTGAATCTGTTCATTTTGTTCTTTATGGAATCTTGCTTTATGCCCTAAGTAGCCTTTTTTGTTCTCCAAATTATAAAAATCATATCATATTTTCTTCTAATTTATTATTTTTAAATTTTTGTTTTCTCCATTTATATCTTTAATTTATCTAGAATTTATTTCAGTGTGTAGTGAAAGATAAGGAGCTTTATTTTCTTCCAAATAGGTGGTTACTTGTCTCAATATAATTTACTGAATCCATCCTTTCTTCAGTGAATTAAGATTCACCTTTATCATGAATTAAATATCCAGTTATATACAGGTATTCTGGATCTCTTGCCACATTCTTTATTCTGTTTTATTAAGCTTTTTGTCTGTTCCTTTAACAGACCCTTTTTGTCTGTTCCTTTTTAAGTCGGTTCTCATTGTTTGCTGTAGTTATGTTCTATGAAGTCCCTGCAAATACTGAATTAGTGAACACTGACCCACTGCCCCTTGGGGAAACAGAGTTAGGTTCCTATATTACTGATTCATCAACATTGAATTTAGCCAACATCACTACAGCTCGTGCCTGAACAAAGTATATCTAACACTTGTAGTTTTCTCTGTAAGACACATCCCAGCCTTGCACTTAGGGACACTTGGCAGTACTTCAGCACTTGGCTCAGGGGCCATTTTTTAAATATTATTATTACAAACTATTTTTTAGACAATTTTAAGTTCACAGCAAAATTGAGCCCAAAGTACAGAGAGTTCCCCTAATACTCCCTCTTTCCCACAAATACACAGACATTTTAAATGGCAAAATCACTGACAAAAATGCAGAAAATGTAGCACTAAATAGGTGGTATAAAGGGCACTTGATTGTAGTGGGAGAGGCGGAGCAGCAGGCGGCCTGTGGCCCACTCCCACCTCTGTGGGGTTGGCTGCTCTGTGCGTGTGTGGGTGCCTCTCAAGCCTCTGGGGTATTGCTTTGGGGTCACAGATACATGTTAGGGAGTAGGCGATAGGAATCTGAATACTGAGGGTTGACTGTAACTATTTTAATTATAGCAGCTTTATAGAATGCTATTATATCTTCACGTCTGGTTCCCTCACAATTTTTTGGTTTTTGAGAATTTGTCTACAACTCATATTTCAATACTAGAAAGACAAATAATCCAATTAACAATGAGCAAAAGATTTGAATAGACATTTCTCAAAAAAACATTGGTAATTAACATGCATATGAAAAGATGTTCAACATCATTAGCCATCAAGGAAATGCAGGTTCAAACCACAGTGAGAAGCCACTTCATACCCATGACGATGGCTATAATAAAAAGGTAGACAATAAGAAGTGCTGGCAAGGATGTAGAGAAATTGGAACCCTCATACGTTGCTGATGAGAATGTCAAATGGCACAGCTGCTTTGGAACACAGTTTGGCAGGTCCTCAAAAAGTTAAACACAGAGTTAGCAAATGACCCAGTCATTCCACTTCGAGGTGTGTACTCAAGAGAACTGCACACACATGCCCACCCAAACACTTGCATGCAAATGTCCACAGGAGCATTATTCATAATAGCCCCAAAGCAGGAGCAACCCTAATGTCCCACAACTTAGGAGTGAATAAAGAAAATGTAGTATGTCCATGTAATAGAACGTTACTTGGCAATATAGAAGAATGAAGAATTGATAAAGGCTATGACGTGGATGAACCTTGAACACATTATGCTAAGTTTAAAAAGTCAGACACGAAAAACCATCTATTGTGTCATTCCATTTATGTGAAATACCAGAATAGGCAAGTGCACACTTAGGGCGGGCGGGAGAGAAGTTGGAGTGGGAAGGGGCGCTCGTGGGCACAGGGTTTTCTTTAGGATGATGAAAGTGTTATAAACTTAGGTTATGGTGCTGGTTATACTGTATGAATATACTAAAGACCAATGAATTGTGCACTTGGAATGAATTTTATGGTCTGTGAATTAATCTCAATAAAGCTGTTTTTTTTTTTAATGTAATGTCTACACAGAGAAAGCAAAACAATGCCCTTTCCCTCTGGTCCCGCCCTCCTCCTGCCCAGAATGTCACGGTAAATCTTCAGGTCCCCCGTGTCTCCTGTGTTGGCGCGACCTCAGGGGAGGAGCTCTTGGCACTGTGGGCCGCAGACATTCTCGGAAGTGCTGCTCCGGTGCCTAGATTGTGTCATCACTGCCCCTGGAACCCCCTTCTTCCCAAGCCCAGTCACTGCCTCCGTTTAGATTCTCACTACATTTCACCTCTCATCACAGTACAGTCCTCCCCCCACCAAAAAAAAAAAGGTCAGAACCAAAAGACAACAGGCCTCCCTCTTCCCAGCCTCTCTCTTCTAGGACACCCTAGTCACAACCCAGAATAACCTTCCTATAGCATCAGGAAATCCCTCCTCAGAGGCCTCTGTGGTTCCTTGCTTTGCTCTCAGTTGAGTCGCAGGTGCTTGGAGCCCCGAAACCCCCATTAGAGCCATCCTCAGCGACACCCTTCCCCCTACTCCGCCCCCAGTGCTTTGTGCTCTTCCCCACCCTCCACCCCCGCACTCTGGTGCCCTGGAAGTTCGTGTTGCCGCTCACTCTCAGTTTGCTTATCTGTAAACTGAGAATAGTGATGTCTCCTCGATAATTGCATGGAAAAAGTAAGCCGTGAAAATGACCGGCGTAGGGCCTCGGGCTTAGCACAAGTTCCCTCTCTCCTTCCTTCTTCCCTCACAAGTACTTTGGAAACTGAAATGCTGTGTAGTTGTGACACGTTGTTGTGATTATGTGCATCTCGTTGTATGTCCACTACCCAGAGTTCTTGTATTTGGGGAAGAATTCGTCATATTTGGCCTCTAATAAGGAACATTTAAAAATATTTCAGAAAGGGAAAAAAGTGTAACTTTGCAGCTTCAGAGTGCCACTGAAACAGGTGCCACTGGAGGGTGTTCGGCCGCCCCAGGGGCGCACGGTGAGCACGTGGGGTGGAAGTCCCTCTCGGGTAGGGGCGTGCCGGGCCTGAGTGCGCAGTCTGCCCACAGGCCGAGAAGGGCAGGTGAGAAGGGCAGGTGGCCGCTTCCTCTGCCTAAGCGCAGAGAAACAGGTTCTCTCTGCCAGAGATGGAGGGCGCCTGGAGGTGCTTAGGAGACGCGCTGAGAGCAAACTGAGGCTTTCCTGCTGGGGTCCTCTCCACTCCAACGCTGCTGTAGGAAAACCAGGGAGAAGCACTTGCTGCTTCTACAGAAAGTATTCTGTGGCCGAGAGTCCGTTTCCAAATGTGTTTGTTTGTTTAAAGAATTGACCTCGCGTTTTAGCCACATTCGGGTGTCTGTCTTCTGTTCCAGGCTCTCCTGATTTTAGTTTTAATCAGAAACCATCTGGTGGAACATTTTGGATTCAAATTAGAGTTTATCACAAACATGTATCTCAGACTACACGCATAAAACCCAGAATGGAACAAAAAGCAAACAAGAAATATTACTATAACATTATGAAGAGAATAGTGCCAGGAGGAAGGAATGGGGAGAAACTGAGAAGGGCTGCGCAGAATCAGGGCCAACCCCTCAGACAGGAGCCACCAGGGAAGGTGTCGGGGAGCTGGCCAGCATTCACTTCGGCATCTCGGTGGGCCTCTTCCTTTTCTGACCAACCTGTGGTCCTTGGGCACAGAAACCAAGGCCAGTAGCCCCTACCTCCTTCTGAGCGGGATAGCGCGCCATCTAACGGGTGGGTACGATTCACTTGACTCCAAAGATAGGTGCCTGAGAGGCCCTATCTCCTCTCCATCCCTTCTCTCTGCACCCTTTTCTCACTCTTCCTTCCCAGAGTCACCCCGGCCTCCACTGGGGCTTGTGACCAAGGGTCTAGGCCCACACCCAGAGTGCTGAGAAGAAACGCAGTGGGACTCATCACTGATGGCGGGAGCCCTCCTTTCTGCCCGCCCCTGCCCCATATGCTGTAGACTGTTCAGATGTGGAGGTCACAGGCTAGCAAATGGTGGAGGAACTACATCTCCAGTCCCATGTTACTATCTTCTCCAGCTCTTTGACTTTGTTGATTTGTCTTAGGAGATACATGTACATGTTAAAAAATGTTTTCCATAAAGTGTAGAAGAGTCTACACAGAAAAGTACCTCTGTTTCCCAGCCTGTGCCCTGCATACTCTGCTCCCTCTCAGAGGCCACTTATTACATATGTACCTTTTCGTAGGCCACCAGTGCTTGTCATTGTTGGCTTTTGAAATGATTGTATCTTTCCTTTCTACTTCATGGCCTGGGCTATTGGACTTACCTGCTGTGTTCTTTCTGCATCTGCTTCCTTTGTATCCCTTCCCCTCTCAGAGGAAGACCCCTGGTGGACAAATAGCGGTGAGCAGAACGACTCGGACCCCATTCCTGACCCCGTTCCCGACAGCTGCACTGGCTGCATCCTGAAAGCACCGGTGCAGATAGTGCCCCTGGCAGATGCCCCAAAGACGTTCGAGAGACTCCATCCTCTGTTGATCAAGGTGAGCGAGAAGCTGACTCTCCCACTGACCGATTACCCATTTATCCTCGCCAGCGGTATATATGTTGGTCGTTGCTGTAGTGAGAGAGGAAGGGGTGGGAGAGGGACAGACAAAGAGAAACATCGATTATTGGTTGCTTTCTTGTATGTGCCCCAACCAGGGATTGAACCCACCACCTGGCTATGTGCTCTGACCCTGAATGGAAAGCACGACCTTTCGGTCTGTGGGATGATTCTCCAACCAGCTGAGCCACGATGGCCAGGGCTGGTTACCCATTTAACAGCTAGAAACCACCCAGCTCTGTGACATTCCCAATAAGTAATTCTGTATTGTTTTGCATTGTCTTTTGTTTTCCTCTGAGTCAAGACCAAAAGGCCGCTGTTGTCTGAGGAGCTTCAGCATTTTTTGTGCCAGTACCCTGAGGTGACAGAAGGCTTCACAGAAGGGATTTTTGCCAAGTGGTGGCGCTGCTTTCCTCAGAGGTGGTTCCCTTTTACTTATCCCTGGTGAGTGAAAGGGGCTCCCGTCTGTGTGTGTGTGTGCGGAAGGGGGCAGAGCAGATGTCGGGCTGTGCCCAGCACTGTGCAAGCACCTTGCAGTACACTGTTGAAGTCAAAGGACACTCGGGTGCTCCCTGTGGACAACCCAGTGAGAGAGAGGTAAAGGGACAAGTGGAAGAGCTGTGTCAGAGGAGTGCCGCTGTGGGTGGACACCAGGATTGCCTGGCGGATTTCTGATTTATTCTAACTATGTGTTTAGCATTTATGTTTATGCACCATGCGTCCTGAGTGTCGAGAGCTGAAGAGAGAGCACAAAGAGTGGGAGCCTTTGTTTCCCTGCACGTGTCTGCGGAGCAGCCTGCCTTGGTGCTCAGTGTCTGTTGCTTAATGGTGGTGTTCAGAATAGCTCTGGAAAGTGGGAATTACGAATGTCACTTTTCGGATCAGAAAAATGGGAATAAGAGAGGTGGCGTACCTTGCTTAACATCACCCAGCCAGGATCGAAACTCAAGTTTGTCCCCCTGTTCCTTCTTCCTGTGTCCTGTAGAAGACATGGTCCATTTCTTGGGGTGCTCTTTAGAAAGAAAAGGAAAGTCAGTTTTCATCTAGAATCATTCCAAAAGAGCATTTAAAAATTGCTCTTTTGAGCTTTTTGTTGGATAATTACTTGATGCTTCTGCCTTTCTTTAAATTGGCTATTTGTGTGATCGGATACTCAGTTTAACAAGCCAGTCGGGCTTGCCGCTTGATTTCCCTGCACTTGTTGCTCTGTCTCAGAGGAAGGTTCATGACTTCCGCTGCCTCCTCTTCGCTTTGTCTCGTCTTCCGCTTGGCTTGTTATTACTTCAGTCTCTTCCAAGATAGAATGAATGGATTGTTTCTTTCCTTCCTCTATATATTATTTTAGCTGGACTTTATAAATACCCGCCCACATGGACAAATAATGGCTGAAGAATTTATGTTACAATGAATTGATTTGGTGTGACTGTTCTTCATGGACCTAATACTTAAGATACTGTCCTGATATTTTCCCCTCATCCTCACCGCCCACGGCTTTCCCACCCTTGCTCAGCTCTGTGTTAGTCATGGCAGCTGATCACCCAGTTTAAATACTGTTTTCTCTTTCAAACTTTTACAGGACAAGATCTCTGAACAGATCACACATTTTACGTGAGCTTTTTCCTGCTTTTACCTACCTACCATTTCCAAAAGATGCCTCCTTGAAAAATTGCTTCTTTTTTGAAGGAGAACATATTGAGAGGAATCAGGTAGGAAATTTTCAAGGGACTTAGAACCAGAATTTTCCTCATTTGGGAACTGGGCTAATGTCATAATCAAGGCCTTCCCTGCACATCAGCTTGGAGGGTGAATTAAAGGGACACTCACATAATCCAAAGTTTTCTCCTCCTGTTGCTAGCCAGGAGACCTGCAGTGGCCTGGTCTTTTATGAAGGCGTGCTTATGGAAAGTCTAGTTACTTCATCAGTCTGCCTTCTGCAAGCCACTTTTCTGCATTCAAGTCCGTAGAATCCTAAATTTTGAAGGGACCTGAGCATGCAGTGAGTCTGACTTCTCTACCTCAAAGTAGAAAGCTGGCAAACTGTAAATGAATGCTATGTACGTGAACAGTCCGACTTACTCATTTTGTAGATAAGGAAACTGAGGCCCACAGAGGTTACATGACTTACCCAAGGACACAGCAAGTTGATAGGAGGGCTCTCCCTTACTCTCACTCCCAGGTTGGCTTTCCCCAGAAATAAATGAGGAACGTCAGATAGACTATTGGAAAAGCAAAGGCTTGAGGGCATGGAGCGGTCTGGGGACTAACAGGTTGGCAGGCGTGTGCCCGAGGCAGGCAGCGCAGTGTAGGTGGCCAGCGTCCCCTCCGCCCGAGGCCGAGAACCTGGGGCCCGCGTTTTACCTCTCTGCGGCGTGGACTCTGCAGAGCTGCTATGTATTTGCATCTGACCACTTTTCTCTGAATTGCTCTTTTGTTGAGTCTCGTTCCTGAGGAAGGATTATGAGCCTGGATTGATTTGAAAGAATTATAAACAGGAATTTTCACTTTGTAAAAAATTTAAATTTTTCCAGCTGTGGCCCCTACCAACTCTGGGTTGTGTTATTGGCTTCAAATTTGCTGAATCATGTTAAAGGAATTCTAAAGCCTAGAAAAACAGTCATTTTGTCTAGAACTAAGGACCGCCTGCCAGCAGCAGGGTGGAGGTGCTGGGCTCTTCCTCAGATTTTAAAGAAGTTTATCCGTTGTCCCTGGCAAGAACCCAGGGCCCTAGTATGAGTCCATCTTCATAATTGTAACATGCTTCTGGGCAAGGGCCTTTAACTTTATCTTGATTTTCCTGCTTAAATCTGAAGTTCATTTCACCAGTCTGCTTAACAGGAACACCAAGTAGCTCGGCCAAAGGGGCAAATACAAAGGTACTCAGATGCCTATCGAAGTCATCCTGTTGTGGTTCTCAGACGTGTTTGGGGGAGGGGAGCGGCCCACATAGGCGAAAATGCCAAGTCTGGTTGTCCAGAGCATCCGTCCCACCCGGCCCCAGCTCCCCACAGTCTTGTTCTCCATCCTGTTATCTGTGTCTCTGGGCCCGGGGCCCTGGTAACCTCACAAGTCTGGGGGCTCGGGATCCAAGAGGCAGCGCCGGGCACGGAAGTGGGGATTCAGTTGCTAAGAAGCACTGAGGAAGCCGGCGAGGGGCTCCAGGCCCCCTTCACCCGCCCACATTGCTGCCTGTGTCCGGCCTGCTCCGTTGTGGTGTTTGTTTCTTCCCACCCTGGGTGCACAGGAACGGGGCCCTTCCTCCTCTCGGGCTGATGTGAAGAGAAATACATCCACTTGGTTTTGGTCTTCTGGGATTTTTTTTTCAAGATTAGAGTTGTCAGGGCTTCTGCTGGTACCAGTCAGTTGCAGGCAGTTCAAGACACTCGTTCTCCCAGTGTCTTCCAGTCACTGCGGCAACAGTTGAAATGGCTCTAGTGTGTCCGTGGAATCAGAGTCATGGCCAGGGCCTGTTAAAGGGTTAGGGACAGGAGAAGATGGGACCAAAACCCAAGACTCTTGAGGCCCCAAGTGGTGAAGAGAAAACCAGGATGTGGCCCAGGGAGTCAGACTTCTGATCCCTGCTTTATGTGGGCATATGAAAGGGTTGCCGGAAGGGCAGGGCCCGGGAGGGGAGGCCTAGGGGTTCTCTCTCACTAGGAAGGAAGAGAAGTCTGTGTGAGGTCAACCCTTCTGTTCATCCCCGCTCCCTGTCCCCGCCCAGCACCCGGGTTCACAGCGGCGCCTGGCGCACAGCGGCTGCATAGTGTGCCCGTGGGCAGCAGCAGTGCTCCCTCCGAAGGGCAGGGGTTGCCTCCACGGGTGCGTATCCTGGTTGTCTCCTTAGTTTCCAAAATCAGAGGCCAATCTTACCGTCATTAACTGTTAATCAGTAGCATGACGTATCTGCTCACCTGGCTCTTGCCAGAAAGTGTAAACCTGACCTTGCCACTGTTCGATTCTTATCAAAACTCTGGCAGTAAAAAGGAATATTCCTTAGAACACTGCCCAAAGGATATGTAGACATCTATTAGTTTAAAAGTCTGAATCAAACCAGACCCTTGGAAGACTGCATTCTTAGACTGACATGTATTAGGCTTTGTTAGGCTTTTGTTAAATTGCAATGAGATATTTTGTCTTTGGCCTGCGTTGAAGCTGTGGCTAGAAATAGCTGTGAATTATGAAGTTTGTGCAGTTCTACTGCAGGACTGTCGTTGAGGTTGTCATCCAGCGGGTCACACAGGATCTCATTAGCAGCCATTACAAGAGATTTTTACCCCGCTCTCAGTACTGGGAGATGAGCCATGCTTGGGAGAAACTAATTTGTTTTTGCCTTTTGGACACAGTTGTGAATTGTGTTGTTGGTGCTATTTTCCTTTTCGCTTAGGCTGCTAGGAACCTCAGAGCTACATGGGTGTGGATTTTTGTGTATCAGTATCCCACACTCCTGGGTTTTACTGTTTCCTTTTCCTTCCTTTCTCCTTTCACTTTTCCTCCAGGCACATAAGATGCACGACCTCTTTACCATTGGCAGTGGCGAAGCCTTGCTGCACCTCATCCCCCCCTTCCAGTGCCGAACGCACTGCAGCATGTTGGTGATGCCGATAGGGCCGGGGGACATCGGTAGGTGGGGCCCAAGAGGGCAGGGCCAGCCACGGGATCTTTTCATTTTTAACTCTAACATATTGTAAGAATTAAATATTGCCTTCACAAAGATCACTGGAGTCAAAATAGCATTTTTTAATTAGCAGGGTCAGTATTTATGCTGAGATGGAACAACTAATGAGAAAATGTGGTAGAGGGGAAATGTCTTGTTCTATAAACGTTTACAATATATGTGTCCAAGTTAGAAAGGATTATGGAAAATATTTAGAGCAATCCTTTATTTTGCAGATGAGGAGACTAAGACACAGAGAGGAGAGGTGACCATTCCAAGGCCCCACCTTCTGTTAAGCAAAGCTTCAAGTCTCTTAAGTGTCTCATTTAACAGAATCAAGCCAGGGGAGGTACAACTTTAGATGTGAGGAAACCCATTTTGCTAATAAAGCAGTGCAAGCAGCATGTGAGGGCACCGGCCACGCAAGGAAACACCACCGTCCGCGTGGGTCCCACAGCCGAGTTGCAGCCTCACTCACAGTCATGACTCACCATTGGCTCCAGACTTTTTTCCCAACTGTGACTTGTTCTGTGTGCTATATTCTAGAAATCTGTCCCAGGAAACAGGTTTAAGTCAACTGCTGTTAGTAGCAATCAGTTTAACTGTAGAGTTTTCTTGGCAGAGCAAACAGATCAGCAAGCGTCACCACTGCCCTCCTTGTTTTTCCTGCCTAGAGTCCCTGGCAGAGCCCAGACCCGCTTTCCATTTGATTTCTTGTACTTCGCCTACTCAGAAAACCCCAGTCCCTAGAAACGTCTCACCTCATTTGGAAGAAGGGTGTAGACCACAAACTGTGCCAAGGTTTAATTCAAGTTAAATGACTTTGATTTCTGTTTACAAATGAAAAAATAAAAACTTACAAATTAAGCATTGACTGATAGTGGAGCACAGCTGGCCTGGCCCTTGGGAATTACCGCATAAGAGGAGATTCTCGTGTGGAAACGATTCTGAACCCGTTTTCCTGCAGGGGTGGCCCTTCCATGGGGTGTGACCGCCGCACAAGCCTGTATGGCATTTGGGATTGGAAGTGGGTAGTTGTGCAGGGAGAAGTTTCTGTCTGCTGTTCTACGAACGCCTGACAGTTCAGACAACTACAGAACACCTTAGTTATCCAAATTCCAGTTTTCCAGCTCCCACGAGCACTTAGAATGCCAATTTCAGGATTAGGGGGAAAGAAAACAATGGGTGACGGGCCGTGATCAGGGAAGCTTTGGGCACCAAAGTCCAGTGTGCGTAGCCCAGAGCAGCCTAAAAGTCCAGAGCCAGGCTGTGACCGGCCAGCTGTGGCCCAGAAGGAAAGGAGCCCTGTGGTTGGCAGTGTCCACACAACGCCAGCCACGTGACAGGAATGTGGAGAAGGGACAGGAGACAGAAGAGAACAAGAGAAAGAGGGCAAGTCTGGGACGAGGACGGTGGGGAGAACAGTGGGCATCTGAGTAGTGGCAGGAGCAGAAGCGATGGCTGCGGCTGCCTCAGTCACAAAGACGGACAGGAGAGCAGACCTGACAGCAGAGGGTGTCTCGTGGTGTCTCGTGCACCACAGGGACCCTTAAGATTAGCAGTGTGACAAGCAAGTTCTGTGTTTTTTGACAAAATAAGCATTGTCCTGTGAAGGTTGAGGGGAAGGGTCAAGGTTACAGATGGCCAGAAGCCTGTGATAGGAGGCATTTTCAAGAATGATGATGGGCCAAGAGCTGGTGAACCCTTACATCTGCCGAAACTATACAGTCACTGCTCATAGTAACCTTCCTACTGTCACCAGGTAGACACTAAATTCTATTCAGTGCTCTCCATTTAAAGATGAACAGCGTGCATCATACTCTAGAAAATTTTCCATCAAGAGATTATTGAACTATTAAAGGTTTTAAGTTTACCTCTCTAGTACCTTAAATGATACAGACCAGTCTTTCCTAAGCAGTTCTACAGATCATTCATGTCCCCGGAGGTGGGGACAGCAGCTCTTTGGCAGATGGGGCTCCGTGGGTCAGTTGACTCTGGGAAACACCTTTCTTACTGATACGTAGCACACATTAGTTACAAAAGGCTCTGAAAAGCCTTGGAAGAACCTAGTGTTTTTCACACTTACTTGGCCATGGAACCCATTTTCCTTGGACTATCTTACAGGATATTGTCTGCTGAACACAATTTAGGAAATGCTGGGTTGGGTCAATCTAGATGTTTTGCAATAAGACCCTGTTGTAGATAACCTCGGTAAAATTGGATAGGGGTCCTCCCCTCACCCCACAACCCATCCTGTCTTCTTGCTGAAAAAGATGAGATCAGCCTGAGACTCGACGCCCAACACCACACCGGGTTACCTAGAGCACCCTGCCTTTGTAAACCTGCTGAACTGTAATTCACAGGAGACCCAGGTCAGGACCCAGGTCAGGAGGGGTGACGAAGAGTTTTGGTTCAAAGTGGCTCCTTTTGGGTGTCAGGTTACAGAGAAGCCAGGTAATAACTGGGAGTATTTATGCCAGAAGGAGCTAAAAGACCTCCAGAGCAAGCATGATCTGCCTGGCTTTGCAGATGTGCCCTGCGGGTGGCTCCGGCAGACCCTCCTTGCTCATGCCCACAGGTGCCCCCAGTCCCTGACATTCACATGCTTTCCCGTTGCTGTTTCCTTTCAAGGCTATGCTGACCCCGACCACTGGAATATCTACATTCTGGTCCGAGGGCTCCAGCCGTTGGTCGTCTGCGATGCAACCACCCTCTCAGAGGAGTAGGAAACAGGACTGCGTAGAGGAACAGCTTGGAGCGCTGAAGACCAGAATGAAAGGACGAAATAAAAACGATGACACCACTCTTAGGGGTTGGTTACTCAGTCCCCTGCCCTGTGCATGCGTACGTGAGCCCCTGTGTGCCGCTGTGTGCCGGAGCCGAGGGCCAGAGCCTGGCCCTCCGGGGGCTTGGCCAGCACTTTGCCAGTCCCCGTCTGTGAGATACTGGGCTCCTCCAGCTCTTTCTGCCTCGTAGCCTTGAGGCTGCCCTTCAGGGAGGGAGCAGGGTGGTGCCTTCCCTCACTGCCCTCTGCTGGTCCCCTGGTCACAGAGAAGGCAGCCAAACCAGCCCCAACTTCAGAGCCATCCTTCAGCAGATGGGCCTGCGTGTCCCATCTTCCTGGCCACACCGCCCTGCACTTTTTTAGGAAAGCTATGGCTGCGGATTAAGGAAGCCATTGCCATTTCCCAAACACAATGGGATCTAGAACCACTGACACAAAGATCAGATAACCTCAAATTGCACTCAAGAAGTGAATTTCTTTCCCAGCATCCATGGCTCTCGAAGTCTCAGCGACGCCAGGCTGGGGTCTGATTATAACTGAAATGGTTACTCCTAAAGAAATACTTTGCTCCGTTTTCACTTTTGGTTCTTTTGCCTCCCCCACCCAACCCTCGCCAGTCTCAGCTCCTTCTCATCTTCCTTGGCTGTCTGGCTGGTTTCTTGCACTTAGGCTCCTGGTCCCCGTCCCTTGGCTGGGCCAGGGCCCTTTCCTGCCGAGGCAGTGTCATTCTGTCAACTGTGTTGCTTTTACCAAGTGTCTTGAGGGGGATGAGTTACATGCTGGCCTGGGAGAGGGCGCCTCCCTGGTTTGATCTGTAGGGTCTGACTCTGTGCGGGGAAGATGTTTTACAGATGTGTCAAGCTGATGTTGTAATGTGATTGGGGAAGGAACTCCAGACCCCAGTGTTTGCCAGCTGGGCGTGCGTCCATGTGATCCTCTGTCTTTAAATGATCTCTCTCTTTGTACGGGAAACAAGGTGAGGTTTATATTTTTTGTAACAATATAAAGCTGTATTCTTTTGATTGGGTAATTGACTCTGCTCATTGTTTCCCTTAAGTGCTTTTAGTATGTTAATCAAATAGTGTAAATTAGGATGCTCTTTTCTTGTTTTCTTTTGTCCTTTATTGATACTGCTAGGTATCTGGCCTCTGGTCATGCCATCACCAAGATGAAGAAAATACAAAGTACACTGTGGCCCCGACTCCTGAATGACAGAAATGGAATTGGGAGACGTCTAGTTCAGAGTTATGAACCAGGGGTGGACAGTGGGGAGGGGAGCGGGTGTCACTCCGTGCAGGGTCCTCTTCATCTTGGGAGCACCCCTGCCCCTGTCCCCGGGCTCTGTCTCTCTTCGCATCTCCTGGGCAGCAGTGGGGCTCGCCGGCCACTCCAGCTGTCCGCTTATGGGCTTGTAAAGGACAAGCAGGGGTCACAGAGCTCAGGGTGGAAACACTCAGAGCCTCCTCTGCAGGCTTGAATGAAACTAGGATGAACTGTACCTGAGGGAATTATTCCGTAAAAAAATCAGCGCCTTGTGTTGATTAATGCAGCAAAAATTCGAACATATGCGAGTCACGCTGGCTAAGCAGTTGTGGTTTAAGACATTTTAAATCAGAGGGAGCACTTAGAGGCCAGCGCTGTGCAGACTCAGGAATCTGCCACGTCCTCTCCCTGCTGCACACTAGGAGGGAGGATGCTATGTAAACAAGTTCCTTTTCAAAAAATCGTATTTATTTGTCTCTAGAGAGAGGGAAAGGGAGGGAGAAAGAAAGGGAGAAAAACATCAGTATGCGACAGAAACATGGAGAGGTTGCCTCTCGCATGAACCCTGACTGGGGACCAGGCCCACGGCCCACGCATGTGCCCTGATTGGGAATCGAACCGGCAACCCTTTGCGGGACAGCACCCAGCCATCTGAGCCACACCAGTCAGGGCTGTAAACAAGTTCTTCAGAGGCCACTCAGTTTTCCTAAATTAGGCTTTTCGGGTTAAGAAAAGAGAGGCTTCCTTAGGAGCAAAGCAACGGTTTTAATGATTGAGATTTCAATTTCATTTTTATGAATTATCCTGTGTCCCTTCCCCATTTTACTCCTGTTCTTCACACCTTAAATGTTCATAAAATATCAACTTCAGTTCAAACTTTGAAAAATAAGAAACCCTCGCATGGGTTGCTGTTCCCAGACGTCCCCTGGGAAGTCCCCTGAGCCCGTCAACAGAGAGTGGTATGGCTGCTGCTAAGAGACTTGTGCATATGCTATTCATTTTATTAACATCTGTCCAGTTCAGAATTGAACGTAGGGTTATATTCAGAGAGAAATTCTCCAGAGAGGGCTTCCTGCTCTTCATTACTGAATGCAGAGAAACCATTTGCCTTCTTCACACGCTGACTTGGGCCGGCCCAGTCTGCCAGCGCCGGTCCCACAGGAACGGCTCGGGGGTGCCTCGCCAGCCCCTTCCTGGGTACCCGAGGCTTTGTGGGAGCCACTGCTTGGCTTTCCGTGCTCACCTCGCTCTCATCTCCTTCAGGGAAGAGCAGAAGGCCCTCCGCATGACCCGGTGTGGGAAAGAAGGTCAGCTAATGAGGAAGCAGGGTCGGGGGATGGTGGGACGGCCTCACCAGCTCCCGCTTCCACCACTGCACCAAGGACAGAACTGCGGGGCTCTAGGAAGAGGGGCTTGCTCATGAGCTCATGAGTTTGTTGAGTGTTTACTGAGAAGTGACTAACTTCCACACACGGGTTAGGTTCACTTTCTTATAGGTCCCCAGAGCACACATACTCATAGCCCCAGAAACCAGCTGTCTGGGGAGAAAGGCTGCTTTGACACCATGTGAAGCATTATGTCCCCGTGGCAGAGGCCTCAGGATGAAATATTAGACAGGACACCTGTTCTGGCTCATGGAAAAAGGCGGGGCTTATCCTTTCCCCAGTGTGTTGTTTTTTTTTTTGTTTTTTTTTTAGGGAAGAGAGAAACTAATTTAATAATGGTTTATAAAAACAAAGTCTATCTATTTAGTAACATATAAAACCATCTAAATAGGCTGAGTCTGCTTTTTTTTTTTAAAGAGAAAGGAATAATAACATTGTGTAGTCCGTGGTCTTTTTTCATCTTACTTAGTCCTATATAGTAGGTATTAGATGCCCATTTTAGAAATAAAGAAACCAGGGCTTAGTTAAGTGCTGGCGCAGAGGTTGTTGGTTTCTCGGAATATTATTTTACTGCCTCAGCACCGTGTGGTGCCCGGAACGAAGACATGTGCTCAGCCCGTGAGCCCTCATCGAGGTAGGAGGACCTAGGGTAGGGTCAGCAAGCCAGGAACGCCTCAAGATTTGTTTTGGTTTTAAAACTGTCTCGTACAGAAATGGAGGAGGAGAGAATCTAACCAGATGACTTTAATAAAAAGTCTTTCACTTTTCCCCTCCCTGTTGGAAAACTCTCTTAAGAGTGTGTGTGGCTGGAACACGATTGTGTCCAGCCATTTTCCCAACACTCCACGTCTCCAGATGTGTGACCAGAAAAGGGACTCCGCCCATTTCCAGTTGTGGGTCCTCTTGGAGTTTACATCACTTGTTTTTCACATCTCAATTTTCTGTTCCTTTCTTCCAAAATTCAGCATAGGCCTCAGTGCAAGAACAGTTATTTTAACAAAATCTCAAGTTCCTTAGCTGCAAATGATGGCCTCGGCCATTCTAATATGAGGCTTCCATAGTGAACATTAAAAACCAAGAGCAGCCCTGGCTGGTATGGCTCTGTGGATTGAGTGCTGGCCTGAGAACCAAAGGGCTACCGGTTCAGTTCCCAGTCAGGGCACATTCCTGGGTTGAGGGCTGGGTCCCCAGTAGGGAGTGTGCGAGAGGCAACCACACACTGATGTTTCTCTTTCTCTCTTTCTCCCTCCCTTCCCTTCTCTAAAAATAAATAAATAAAATCCAACCTCCCCCCCGCCCCCCGAAACCCAGAGCAGATGTTCATTCTCATCTAATCCTCACTCAGCAGAAGCCAAGTTTTAGGGAAAGAGGGAAAGCTGTTTGTCTGGTTGCACGGACAGAGGCGGTTGTGTCTACGTCTTGTGAATCGATTACTGAATGGGGTTTTCGGCTTCGAGTTCCCCTAGCAATGGGAGAGAAACTCTCCTGAGCTCATCAGTTGCACATTCATTAACTTTTAGTGGAGACCCGTCGCCCACTAACCCACTGACGGACGGGAGTGCCAGAGCTGTGTTTTGAAACAGTGAGTCAGGCTGGAATCTTCCACGTTTGGACCTTTGCATGCTGTGTACAGAGCCAGTGTGTGTTGGGGTCAGAAGGTTAGGAAGGGGAGGTGCTTATGGAGGTGGCCCTGTGGCAAATGAAAACTGGGAGGCCCTGGGGATGTGCCGTGTCCCCACCGGGGACACACTGTGGGCGTGTGTGTCCCTGGCTGCCTCACCTGCTGGCAGCTTCTTCCCCAGAAGCATCTCAGAGAAGATGGACAGGTGCTCCCTCCCACGCACCACATCCAAGCCCACCCGCCCTGGATACAGTTGGCTTTAAGCGCTGGCCTTGGTGGGAACCCCTCCAGCCAACTTGTCTGCTGTCCATGTCCCTTAGTATCTGGTTTCCCTGCCCTGCATAATTTAAGCATTAGAGCTAAATACCTCTGTCCTTTCCCTTTCTCTGGAGACGTCGAGTCCAGACCTCTTCAGAGGAATGGGAAGAAGAAACGTTATGTAACCGCAAGTTGAGGCCTGAACTGTCCAGACATGGGCTGGCCCTGGGGCTGTTCCTGCTGCACTTAGTGCGTCTGTCATCGATCCAGGGGTGAGCCCCGCTGCAGGCTCCGCACAGAGGAGAAGAAACCAGTGTAGTTTTCCATTTCACGCAGAAATCGAGGAGTGGGGACATCTGCTTTGTGCCAGGCTTCATTGACCTGCTTACTCCCCGCAACTCTAAGGGGTATTTGAGGTCATCCTGGGAAGCCACCTTAACTCACCATTCAGCAGTGCCCCAGCCTTCAAATTTCAGCCCCTCCGAGCACTTGTGACCTTTCCAGAAACAAATGGTCACTTATTAAGCAAAGTGATGACAGGATCAGACAGACACGTGGCATTCCTAGAGGGAAGCCCCAGTCTCATCGTAGGCAACTTTCCCTCCAAACTTCTTTCTACAGTTTCACCCCCAGAAGAATGCTGTCTGTGGTCCCTCCCCCTGCCTCCTGTGGGAAGGTCAGTAACAGGCCAGGGGAGGTGCAGGGTGCAGGGTGAGGGTGCAGTTGGGGACTGGAGAGGCGGCAGGAAGGCGGTCACTCCACTCAGCCTCTTCCCCGCTGTCATCGCAGACAGGACCGGACAGCTGACCGTGTGGTAGCCTGCGTGGTCCCACTGAGCAGAGGATGGACACCTGTCCCAGTCACACATGTGCTGGGAGTGGTCTAAGCTGCTAGGTGTCCGGTACAGAATGTCGGCCATAATTTAATGTACTATGAACTTGTAAAGACTTCCCCATGTAAAGAATGTATGTATTTTAAAGTTTTATGTAACAAAGTTTTTACTTTTTGCAATTAAAAGTGTGTATGTTGGTTGATAACTTTCTTATAGTTGTCATTCTTTAACTTCCAGTTTTCTCTTTTCCCGTAACTCAGGAGATTTCTAGCCACATCCTAGTCAGGAGGAGGGCCTCCCGGTCACCTGTCCCGTCTGACCGTGGTCCTCTCTGACCTTCTCACCCAGCTTGGTACTCACTTGCATTCACAGACTCTTCTTTTATCACTCTTTCAGGCCTTTGCCCACCCTGGCTGCTAATCTGCCATTCGAGTGAATTCTCAAATCTCAGTCCTCCTGTTAATACCAGGATTTAAATCATACCCTGGGTGGCTTCTTCCTGCTCACCTGCTGGGTGGGTGTGGCCCAGATGCCCTCACGGTGTCTCCTCACCCGTGTACGTCGTGGTCGGTCACAGGAGGACGGCCAGGACCCTTGCTGGTTCACTGCAGCCGCCCCCAGATTAGGGCCACTCAACACTCGATGTAGATTTGATTTAAGTCCTCTTTGTGTCATTTTAAAAAAATTCTACATAGTTTAATAAAAATGCATGAATATAACCAGGTCTTAGTGTTTAGTGCCCTGTTTTATTTTCCTTCATTGCTTGCTGTGCCTGCCTCCCTCTCCCCTCGTACCCCTCCCCCTCCCCTGGCCAGATAAGCGTAACGTATGCACAGGCATACTCTGCCTGTATCTTTCCAGGTTCTTCCATGCTCTCATATAATCATACACCATAAGGTTTTTGTCATTGCTTCACTGAAATGGAGTCATATTACAAGCACTTAATGTTTCTTGCTTTTCTTACTCAGTACCTCACAGAGTTCAGATCAGCTGGCATAGGTCTAATCCATTCGTTTTAATGGCTAATATTCCTTGGTGTGGACGTGCCATTATTTGTTTGACTGTTCTCTTCCTGATAAATCACATGCTGTTAAATGAGTATTCGGATTATAAGTCAAGAAGTCTGAACTTAATTTTAAAAATACGTGTCCTCACAAAGCCACCGATTTTCTCCCCGTCTTTTTCGGCCCCCGTGTAGCACTTGACACTGACTTGTGGAGCACACCCCCTCCCTTGGCTTCTGTGACACTCCCTACTCCCTGAACCCCCCTTTCCTCCTCCTCTGCCTCCTTTGTAGAACCTTCTGCCTGTCTCTGAAACATTGGTCTCCTCTCCTAGTCTGCCCTGGGCCCCCCCGGCTCTCTCTGGGAGATCTCAGCTCCGCGTTGCCTCCACCTGTATGCCTAGCCCACACTTCTTGCCTGAACTCAAATCCTGTAAATGCAGGTGTCAGGAGCTCATGTCCACCGTTCTCCCCTAACGCATCTCTAGTTCACCACGCCCAAGATGGCTGTGGTAGCCTCACAGGGCCCCTGTCTTTTCTCTCAGCCTCTGCTTCTGATCTGGACCAAGCTCTGGAGAACTCTTGTTGCATATCCAGTCCCACTCCTGCTGTCTCAGTTTAGAACCTTGCTGTCCCACTCGTAGACTGCCGGTGATTGCCTAATTGGTTTCTCATGCATGTCGCCTCATCCCAGTTCACCGCCCGCATAGCTGCCACGGTGGTCTTTCTAAAGCTCAAGTCACCTTACTTCTTGCTCAACGCTCCTCAGTGACTCTGTTGCCCACAGGGTAGGTCCCGGCCAGGCCCTCCAGCCTTTGCTTCCTCTCCATGTGTACTGTACACACCCCCCCACCCCGCCACTTCAATTCTTGGAAACTCAGGCTGGTTTTTCATTTTTAGAAAAAATTTTTATTGAATTGGCATGACACTGGTTGACAAAACCATATGGGTTTCAAGTGTATAACTCAACAACCCCTCTGTGTCTGTGTGTTAGGTGAATATGCGCTCTGGCTAATCCCTTCACCTTTCGTCCAGTTCCCCTGCCCCCTCCCCCTGACAGCTGTCGGTCTGGTCCGTGTGTCCATGTCTGTTTCTATTTGGTATGCCAGTTTATTTTATTCATTAGATTCCACAAGTAAGTGAGATCATATGGTACTTGTTTTTCTCTGACTGGCTTACTTCACTTAGCAAAATAGTCTCCAAGTTCACAGCAAAATTGAGCATAAAGCACAGGGTTCCCACGTACCCCATGGACACAGCTCAGCCATGTCGATGTCCTGCAGCAGAGTGGCACACTTGCTGCAATTGATGGACCCACAGTGACACATCCTTCTCAAAGTCCACAGTTTACATTAGGGTTCACTCTTGGTGTACAAATGTATAATGGCATGCATCTGCCACTATAGTATCACACAGTCATTTCACGGCCCTGAAAATCCCCGGGCTCTGCTCCTCCTCCCTCCCTCCCTGCTAACCCCTGGCAACCCCTGATCTTTTTACTGTTCCATGGTTTTGCCTTTTCTAGAATATATATGTTGGAGTCCTACAACATGTAGCCTTTTCAGATGGGCTTCTTTCACTCAGTAATACGCATTTCAGTTTCCTCCATGTCTTTTCATGGCTTAATAGTTCACCTCTTTTTAGCACTGAATGATACTCCACTGGATGTTTCACAGTTCATTTGTCCATGTACTAAAGGACATTTTGGTTGCTTCTAAGTTTTGGCAATTATGAATAAAGCTGTAAACATCCATGTGAAGTTTTTTGTGTGGATCTGGTTTTCAGCTCCTTTGGGTAAATATCCAGAAATGTGGTTGAGGGATTGTATGGCGAGAATATGTCTAGTTTTGAAAGAAATCACCAAACTCTTCCCAGTGGCTGCACCATTTTGCACTCCCATCAGCGATGAGTGAGGGTCCCTGTTGCTCCACGCCCTCCCCAGCATGCGGTGGTGTCAGCGCTGTCTGGTTTGGGCCGTTCTAGTGGGTGTGGTCTCATCGTTTGGACTTGCAGTTCCCTGTGACGCGTGTTGGACACCCTTCCGTGTGCTGTGCGCCACCTGTGCATCTTCTTCAGTGAGGGGTCCGGTCAGACCTTCGGGCAGACCTAATTCCACTTTGGAATTAGGTTGTTTGTTTTCTTCTTGTTGAGTTTTAAGAGTTCTTTGTATATTTGGGGAAACAGTCCTTTGTCAGATGTACTTTTTGTAAGTGTGTTCTCCCAGTCAGTGACTTGTCTCTGCAGTACACACAGAGGTTTTACATTTTAATAAAGTCCAACTTATCAGTTGTTTCTGTCATGGATTGTGCCTCTGGTGTTGCATCCAAAAAGGCGTCTCCTTACTCGAGGTCACCTAGGTTTTCTCCTACGTTATCTTTTAGGAATTTTATAGTTTTGAATTTTAAGTTAGGTCTGTGGTCCACTCAGAGTTAGTTTTTGTGAAAAGTATGAGGTCTGTGTCTAGATTAATTTTTTTGCCTGTGAATGTCCAGTGGTTTCATCACCATTTGTTGAAAAGTTATCCTTACTCCATCATATTGTCTTTGCTTCTCTGTCGAAGGTCGGTTGACTCTGTTTATGTGGGTCCACTTCTGGGCTCTCTATTCTGTTCTGTTGATCTTGAAGTTGGGTAGTGTCAGGCTTCCAACTGACCCTAACTGAGCTTTCCTCTCGGTAACGTGCTGGTTATTCTGGGTCCTTCGCCTCTTCACAGCAACTTTAGAATCAGTTTGATGTTTACAAAATAACTTGCTGCAGTTTTTGATTGGTATTGTGTTGAATCTATAGATCGAGTTGCATCCAGGTTGTTTTTAAATAGGAATTATAATTCCTATCCCACAATAATACTTTCAGACTTTAATATGCCCTTTTTGCTCAGTTTGAACTCAGTTTATTAGTGCACATTCCTCCGACATGACGTGGCCTTTACTCTTTCCTAATAACTCAAACTGACAAGCCCTTAGATACCATGTTGAAGATAGATATCTCACTAATCTTAGTTTTTCAAAATAATGACTTATTTTTGTAAAATGATAAATTCTTTTTATAAGAATTGAAGACAGTTTGGTTGATCTTATGAAAACATCTACTCAGAGATAACCACTAACATTACATGAATAGAATTCTAGGCGTCTCTAGGATATTTCTAGATAGCAGGCTAGATAGAAATGCCTTTATTAAAATGGGCTCAGCCGCGGTATTTTAAAGAACAAAAGTACTAAATCAATTTTATGTGACTCCAACAAAGAAAAAGAAATATTAGTTCCTAAAAGATCTCTCTGAAGTTAAGATTGTGAGAAACATTAAGAAACTGGAATTGTTCTGAATAAGGTTCACTTTTTAGATGAAAGGCTTAGGCCTCTGAGGATAAGAAAGTGTCTCCTTTTCCCGCCTTATCTCTTCCTCAACTTCCCAATTTGCATATTGATTATACCCCTACTGACACTGACACCACCTGTGCATTTCCCCTCGGAAGGTATAGTTCTCGTGCTTGTTCAGCCTTCATTTCCCATTTAAACCGACTTTTGACTCACCACCGGTACCGTTGCCATCACTTCTTCATTCCTGAGTTGTTTTTAAACTCTCGTTTGGCTAAATTTCATCATTCAGTTTTTAAAGGATGGTTCATGAATGCTGCATTTTCTGTGTTTGAGAATGTTTCTGTGGTCTTTAGACGTGACCACAACTTGGCTGAATAAAGTATTCTTGCATCACACTTTCTTTTGCTCCGCACCTTGGAGACATTTCTCCGTCGTTATGTGGCAGCGTGGGCAGCGTGGGCTGTTGGTAGAGACCGGAGAGGCCAACCTCACGTTCCCCTTCAAAAGGAAAGTGATTCTCTCCTTCTTGTTTCCTCTCTTCTTTTAAAAAGAAATCTCTGTGGCTGAAGGATTCTTGTTCTTTATCAGCTTTTCCTGGAACAAGGCGTGTTCCTTTGAGTTGCAGTTCTGTTCTTACAAAGATGTCTTGTATTTCTCTATGGATACTTCCTTTTTTCTCCATTTGTTGAGTTCCCTGTTTCAGATTCCATATTTATTTCTTTGTTTCTCTGTCTTTATCTTTTATGACTATTGTCTTCTCTTTTTAATACTTGTCTTTTTTTTTTTTTTCATTTCCCAGGACTATTTCAAAGCTTCCCTCTCTCCTAATTTATTTTTCCGCCGTATTTACTCAGTTGCGTTGGTCCTGGGGTATTGGTTCTATGAAGCTCGCTCAGCCT